GTCAAAATCGGTGGATCACATATGGCTAATAATTTCTTAGCTTATTATAAATAGCACAGCCTACTTTGTCAGAAAGGCTGCATGCTCAGTTACATCTGTCAACTTTTTAATGAAGTGGCCCAGTAACCCCAATAAAAGCTCTATTAACCCACTCCACCACACTATTTTGTTACTGCGCCATTTATAGTTTTCTCACATGTCAGTATCTTTAACCTTCTTTAAGTCAATAATCTCTCACTTCATGGCTGTTTTGTGGCGTTTTAAGGTCAGCTCCATCTGTGTGACCCTGCACCTACCTGGCTGCTGTCCAGTCCAGCAGCACTTCGTCCAGCAGAGGGAGCTCGGAGCCTGTTTAATCCCCCCTCCCTATAACAGCAGAAGAGCGCACCTCCATCCAAGAGCGGTACACATCTGATTCCTTTAATTACTTCCTTCCTGTAGTTAATTGGTGCCAATCGGTCCAACCTAAAAAACAAAACAAACCACTGAGCTAGACGGTCAGGAGTGAACGTTATTTCTCACTCTGTGCATGTTAGCTTACACATTACCCACAAACTGCATTCAGCGTGTTTGATTCACCTGTTTCAGCCAATTCAGAGCTGTCAGCGCTTGCAGACAGATCGAGGTAAGCTCCCGCACCTGTGAGCTGTGCGCTGCATTATTGTTAAAATAACTGCTGCTGCAAACTGTGAACGAACCTGCCACCAAGTTCTTTATAGCATGTATGCAGACAGTCACGTGTAAGTGTAAGTTTAAAAAAGCGACTGGTTTGTGCAAAAGCAGGTAAATTAACCAGTCTAATCTTTAGTTTCAGTCAGAAAATCTCACTTAATGATTCATTACGACGAGATTTAGCAGAATTATTGAGACAGTTTGGGATGTTTAGTGATATTTTAGACGGGGTTGTAGTAAAATAACTCGCCCTAATTATCTCCTACTACTACTTGCATTTGTATTTTTTGCATGTCTCCAGTCAATGGAAGCTCTGCTCTACTATGACCCCTCCCACCGAAATAGACCTCGCGTAAAAACAAAATGCATAATTTAGTGACCAAATATCAATGAAAACATGTTTTTCGGGTTTAAATCAACCTTAATGTCGTGTGGAGATTATTTAGGGTGATAAAAGAGAAAAAAAACATTGGGCGTGTGTGATTTTCAAGGCCGGCGAGTGTTTCGCGGGAAAACGAGCGGAAGGATACCGCAGAGTAGTGCTGCGGCCGTTTTTATTGCAGCCGGCGGAGCACACAGCTGTGATTCTCACGCTGCCGATGACAGAGTGCGCGTCGTCTTCATCGGGTCGGTTGTGCAGCCGTTCAGCTCCCCATGCATGCTTCACACAGCCTCACTGAATAAGACTGCAACGCCTCCGTGGAAGGATTTAATGTTTCTTTCGTATTGGAATAACTTTCCTGCCCTTTTTTGCGCCTTTTGGGTCAATTTCGCCCCGTCTTTTTCCGCCGCCAGTTTAAAATCTAAAAGGTAAGGGGAAGGGAGTGGGTTTCTGGAGCTTGCGCGTCACCTTCCCACTCCAGTTTAGTAAAAAAAAAAAAAAAAAAAGACTGTATTAGCTTGTCGCCAGTAGCAGTTTTGTGAAGGTGGGGTTTCCCTTCTTGCACTTGATTTACTATCAGTTAACCAGTTGTGAGCACCTGCTGGAGCAGCACTGGTGCACGCATGCAAGACGTGCAAGCAGGGTTGATGTTTTGGAGTGACCATGTGATGTTGCTTACACTTACTGTTGCAGAGCAGGATCAGTGTCAAGAAGCTGCTGTGTGCTTTGAACCTGCGGACCTCTTTTAGATTAAACGTCTAATCACACCCATGTTGTTGTTTTTTCTTTTTTTTTCTCCCTCAACCAGCTTCACAATAAGGATAAAGACACCAGAGACATCACCATGCCGCTGCATTCAAGTTTAGCGAGTAAAAACTATGACTACGACTACGACTCTCTTCAACCGTATTTCTACTACGACAACGAGGAGGAGGATTTCTACCCTCAGCAGCTTCAGCCTCCGGCACCGAGCGAAGACATCTGGAAGAAATTTGAACTGCTGCCGACCCCTCCCCTCTCCCCGAGCCGCCGGCCGTCCCTGTCAAGCCTCTTCCCCTCCACGGCGGATCAGCTGGAAATGGTGACCGAGTTCCTGGGCGACGACGTGGTCAACCAGAGCATCATCTGCGACGCCGACTACTCCCAGACCTTCCTCAAGTCCATCATCATCCAGGACTGCATGTGGAGCGGCTTCTCCGCCGCGGCCAAGCTGGAGAAGGTGGTCTCCGAGCGGCTTGCCTCCCTGCACGCTGCGAGGAAGGAGTCGGCGGGCGGTGAGTGCGCGGAGCCCGCTGGTGCAGCTGCGTGGAGGCTGAACAGCAACTACCTGCAAGATTTGAACACATCCGCATCGGAGTGCATTGATCCATCTGTGGTTTTCCCGTACCCGGTAGCAGAGACGCCCAAGCAGAGCCCGGGGACGCCGCCTAGTAAGGACTTGGGACTAGACACGCCACCAAACAGCGGCAGCAGCAGCAGCAGCAGTAGCTGCAGCGACTCTGGTAAGCTGTGAACGTGCGCTCATCATGCAGGCACACCCCACTGTACAATTAGGAATTTCCCTCTGCTGAGTGTGCAAGGATTGCTTTCACTGTTGTGAATTAAAGGATAGTTCTCCTTTTAATGCATGTGATTTGCAGTCAGATTTCCAGGCAGGAGGAGGTTGACATGCTGTCTGTTCCACCCATGTCATGTTGTAGGCTGCTGTGAGATTAGCTGGAGGGTATGGCTGCAACGTTAAGTCAACTGATGTGGAAGGAGAGACTACCCCCTCCCTTCCCACTGTGGCATGCTGAGTGAATGTATTTCAACCTTGATGCTGAGGCAGAGTTTTGATTGTTGTGCTATTTTTGTGTGTTGCAGAAGATGAGGATGGAGATGATGATGAGGAGGAGGAGGACCAGGAGGAAGAGGAGGAGATCGACGTAGTCACCGTGGAGAAGAGGCAGGCGGTGAAGCGGTGCGACCCCAGCCCTTCGGAGACCAGGCATCCCAGCCCTCTCGTGTTGAAGAGGTGCCATGTCTCCACCCACCAGCACAATTATGCCGCCCATCCATCCATGAGGCACGAGCAGCCGGCTGTCAAGAGGATGAAGCTGGAGAGCAGCAGCAGCAGCAGCAGCAACAACAGCAGCAGCGGAGGCAGCCACAGCAGGGTCCTCAAACAGATCAGCAGCAACCGCAAGTGTTCAAGCCCGCGGACGTCTGACACGGAGGACTATGACAAGAGAAGGACTCATAACGTACTGGAGCGCCAGAGGAGGAACGAGCTGAAGTTGAGCTTCTTCGCCCTGCGGGACGAGATCCCAGAGGTGGCCAACAATGAGAAGGCAGCTAAAGTGGTGATCCTGAAGAAGGCTACAGAGTGCATTTACAGCATGCAGACGGACGAACAGAGACTCCTCTCACTCAAAGAACAGTTGCGGAGGAAAAGTGAACTTTTAAAGCAGAGACTCTCGCAGCTGCAGGGCTCTCGTGCTTAAAGTTTGAATTGTAGACTTTTTTGGCCTTTTGTTTTTTTTTTATGCAAGTTCAAGACTTGGGGTGTACAGTTGTTTGTTGCATGCAAATGCAAAATGGATTAAGTTGTTTGGAATCTTGTTTGATTTCAATGTTAAAACTGCCTCAATTGAAGTTATGGGTGGATTAAATATTTAAAAGTTTATTTTTATTAATAAAATATAAAATGGGGCTTCCCTGTTGAGGGCCCAACTAAAATATACATTTTTATGTTTTGTATATAATTAATATTTCCTAAGAAAATGTATTTTCTCAATTGTCTGGATGTTCAGACCCAGTGTTTTGTTTTTTCCAATATGTTCCTAGTTTCTTTTTGAAATATAAAAAAATGTTTTTCTTGAATATGTGTCCTTGTTCTTGTAGTGCAAAAACATGTCTCACACATTTCTTCACAGCTCGTTTTTATAGACTTGCATTAATATGTGCTGGGGGGTTAGATGTTGCGGTAGAGTGGAGACAAACCACATAAATGGTTATGTATGTTGTATAAAAGGATGGACATGGATTAAGATGGTTGTGTTCAGGTGTCATGATGCTCAGACAAGCTCGCTCCTCTCCCAGCTACTTACAGTGTCTTAAGGGTTTAAATTACTACCATTTTCACTTGAAGAATCCATTTTTGATGCTGTATGGTCATAAAGAAGACAAGGTAAGCTCAGACCATGACCTCTGGTTTATGCATACAAGCATTTAAACTGCCACTATCATGTTTTAACCAAAGTAAGAGCTTATCGCAGATATTTCAACACTACTGATGCTACAATTAATCAAATTTCACTTGAAAGGTCTATAATAACTCTTCTGTACCTGTTTTGTGGGCAAAAGAGGGAATTTGGCCATCTGAATTAGACCTGTTTTGCTTCTAAAAAGCACTTCAGTTCAACTTCAGTTCAAGCATGCACTTATATTTCTGCATGATCTTCCACCTAAACATTATTCTTGGAGCTGTTCATAAGTACATTGAAAGTTGCTTGTATGGCTAAACATACTTGGTCAACAAAGCTTATTGTGATTCTGATCAAATAATCACTTCATATGTGTCAGATAAGATTTAAGTGTATGATGATAACACAGGTTGGTTAACAGTAATGGTGATAATGAGGCTCTTCAGACAATTTACACAGTCCAAATGTTTGTTTTTTTTTCTACAAGAAACGTATTATTTCTATTGTAAATATAACACTTGAAATTAAAATCTTTGTAGGAACATTAATGGAAATTTATCAATAATACAAAATAAAAATCCTAAATAACAAGTAAACATCTCAGTTGTGTACCACACAGAGTTAAGTCTCTGCATTATATATTATCTAGTATATAATTATAATATACCTGTATTATTGTTACTGATTTGCACTGATTTTCCGACGGGCTTTCCAGTCTCGCCGTGACGTCACGCGCCGTATCCCGAGCGCTCCCCTGAGCGCGTGGTCCTGGTCGCGAGCACATGGAAGTGAGGTCGAGATTTGTGTCTGTGAGACGCGCGACTGATCATCAGAAAAAAGGGAATATAAAAGCAAGAAAGCATCAACGAAAACGGGCTGAACGGCGCGGTAAGAGCTCTTTATAATGTCTGCCAGCGATTGTATTCATCGTCTTTTAAGTAATTCTTTAATTACACTGATTGATGGGCCTGATCTTTCTGGAAAGTAAAATCTCTTTATCTTTCAGCCTGTCTAATGAAAACTTAATTTAAAAGGACAGCGACTTTGCAGAGGTTTCATCTGATGTCAATATAAAACCTCTCGTGATACAACCTGTCTGAAACTATTGTTCTCAGGACAAAGTGTTATTCTCGTCTGGCTTCTCCATTGTCTGTCCAACTCCTGTTAATACTGCAGAGTTTAGAGCTGGGGATGTTTATACCGCATGTTCTGTTAGAGGTCTATTGTTTCATCTGATCACACTGATGAAATGCTTACCTCATGTTGTATACCTCAAGCTCACAGTGTATATACTTTCCAAGCCTTTATTCTCCATGGACCACAGATTCTTGTGCTGCTTGAAGCTTTATCTCTGCTGTCAGTGTGATAGTAGTGGTTTGGATCATAACAAAAGAGGATAAAAGGCTTCTGTGTTAGCATCAGGTATCGCTCACGGACCCCGATTTTATGCATTATGGGAGCTTGTTTGTGTGCAACAGATGAAGAAATATTTCTAAACTAGAAATTTTATTTTCCTGGCCTGTGAGTGCATATAAAAGCAGTTAAGCTGAGATGTTGGAGCAGCATGTCTGAGACATGGGAGGACCACAAAAGATGAGATTAGTGTGGATTCATTGTGTGTGGACTCTTGCACGACTGGGCGTATTGTGAACAGGGAAACTGTCCAGTAATTGGTTGATGTGGGTTCAAGCCTCCATGACAACATGCACCCACCCTGCTGAAGTTTTGTCCTGGAAAACACTGAATCCATGAGTGGAGAAGGTGCTCTGATATAAATATGGCAAAGGAAATCTAGGATCGGAACCCAGTAAGTATGGTTTGGTCAGTCAAAAGACATCTACAGAGAGGCATTTTACTTTAAAACCAGGCTTGATATAGGTGAAAAGTGAGAGTTTTAAAGTTGTTGTTTTTTGTTGTTTTTTTTTTACATGTTTTGGTTACAAATAACTGCCAGTTCAAACCACATTTCTGTGGCTACGTTTCACAGTGCAGTTTGGACCTGCTACACTGAAGTTCTCACGTTTTAACCCTGACATCTAAATGTCTTTTCACCTGCAAAACACCACAAAAAATATGCTCACTGGGTGGAGTTATCTGTCAGAAGTTTCACAACACTGTCAGCTGCTCCTGTTAATATTTCATGAGTCATGTACAACCTGAGTCAAGTCCAAACTGGCTCAGCGTCAGGTAGATAAAGAACTATTCTGCTGTATCTGATTAAGAGGTTAGTAATGAGCTGTAGTTTGTGCTTCTAATGTGCCAGTGTTGCATTCAAGTCACAGAGATAAGATAAGAAGTAAACATAGATACAAACCCATAAGGCTGTTTAACAATACTAATTTCCACAGTCATCATGCATGATAAAGAAGATTATTAACTTATTTCCCAAGCTGCAGCTCTGTAGCCACCATCGTTGTTTGGATTTGGAACAGAGGTGCAACATGGGAAACAGGTAAAAAATCTTTTTTATCATGCAGTAATGTTTTTTTAATCAGCATAGTTGGATGTTGCTGTATGGATTTATCTTGAAGATATCACATGAGAGGCACAAACTGGCGCTTTAGAATGAAATTTCATTATCCTTTAATTTGCTGTTGAATTCGACTAATCATCTAGTCTTTAAAATGTCAAAAAAAGACCCTCTCGAGTTCCGGGAGCTCAAGATGACGTCGTCAAAGGTCTTTTTTGTCTGACCAACAGTGCAAAACACAAAAATATTCAAGTTATATTGATGTAAAACTGAGAAAAGAAGCAAATCCTCACATCTGAGAAGCTAAAAACAGCATATATTTGGCCTTTTTGCTTAATAAATGATGATTAAACTGTCATTAAAGCAGCTTAATTTAGATAATGAGCCAGTCTGGGGTCTATATTTTGTACTTATAAAGAAAATAAACATTTACACAATGATCAGTGATCAACGTCAGCTGCAACAAATTGAAGCAGCTGACAGTGACAGAGATAGTTTTTTGTTGTTGGACTCTTATCATATTGATGAATACAGTGGAGTCCCTATAGGTATTTTTTGTTTGTTGAGTAAGAAAGGAAATTTTCTGCTTGACTAGCTCTCGGCTTGTCTGATTCTTCTTGTGAGACCTTGTACTTTGCAGTAAATGTTGTGTAAGTTAGAGTGTACCTTAGAGATCTGTGTGTTTTCCAGGCAATCTTTACACAGAGCCAAACTTCGCTGCCTCGCCACAACGACTGCACACATACTTCTCGGATACTTTAGAGGCCCAGAAATACATTGGAGGTCTGCTGTTATGTAATGTGTGTTTTTCAGAGCTGGACGCTGGAATAGATTAAAGCGGTTCATACTCGTGAAGTCAGAGCTGTAGCCACTTGCTCGCTAGACTTTTCTCTCTGTCTGTGTCTCATTTTACAGCATTATTGAATGACATCACTTTCCTCTTTGGGAATACGCTGCCTCATTTGCATGCTCTGTTTCTGTCTCTGAGCTGTCAGTGTGTTTTCATTGGCGGTGACGACTTGTGTTTGCCTGCCAGATTCTTTCTTGCGCAGTGTTTTCCTTTCACCCCGTGAGAGTATTTAGGAAAATGTTGCTGAAGAATGTGACACGTGTCCACCTGGATGTAACACATACTTCAGCACTGCTTTGAATTCACTTTTCACTTTTGTGTGTGTTAAGGAAACATAATCTACAATGATACTGTAGTCATTATGCATTTTTTTTTCTTTTTTTCAAAAGAGGTTTAAACCTTTTTTTGGACGCGTGTGGACTTAGCATGTAGCTTCAAACCTCTGGGCGGGCATTTCTTATAACAACAGTTGACTAACATTTGAGATCTGCCGCTGCTAGGAGCCTAACAGTCAAGTTCATGGAGACAAGCACATCTATCGCTGATTATATAACGTTATCAATTTAAGATGTCGGTCACTTTTACAAAATTTAAACTTTGTATTCCATTCATAAAACAGAAGCTAGCAAGCTAGGCTAACTAGCATCTGCTTGGAAAGCGGGAGGCAGTTAGCCTAGCTTGCTAACGTTGGCACTGATACCCAACCAAATGTTACTTTTCGTTGTCATTGACATCTCTCACACACTCAGTGTTCCCAGATAATAGAAATATGGAGGGTCTAGCTAGCATTAGCTGTCGCTCTTTCAGGGGTTCAGTTATGGTGACAGTAAATGACCTGACGGAAAACTCAATCATTTTAAGTTGTCATATTTGGCTTTTGGCTTTTTCCTTTTCCTTTAATGTGTTAGATATATTTTTTTTGCATGTAATAGGTTGCAAAGCAAAAGTGAAAAAGCTCTAAGTCCACTCCAAATGGAGTTACCATCTCCATCAGAAAACACTGCTCCTGAACTGCCTAAAAACAGCTTGTTTGTTGTCCAGCTTTTACGTCCGTAACCTATCTGTGTCACTATAGCCCCTTTTCCACTGCACGGTACCAGCTCCACTCGACTCGTGTTTTTTTGGTTTTCCACTGTGGAAAAGTTGTACCTGTACCTGCTAATAGGTACTTTTTTTCGTATCCCCTCCGTTGAGGTTCCAAGCGAGCTGAGGCGATACTAAAATGTGACGTGAAAACACAGCAGACTGTTGATTGGTCATAGAGAATCGTCACTATTCACTGCATCATCATTGTGCGCACCGGATAGAGGCCAGCAACAGAAAGTTTTTATTTTTTTCATTCGTTATTTCATCACTAAATCCACTTCTGAGAAGTTTTGAGGTGAGAAATCAACTGTGTAGATTTCAAATACTGACAGTTTGACGTTAAGTGATAGTGGAACAAAAATGCGCTTGAAAGTTTTCGGAGTTGAGGAGCTCCGCAAGTGGCGGCAAGGGAAGCCTGCGGCAACCCGCGGGAGGAGCTTGCAAGGCCGGCCAGCCGCCCGCTCACAGAGCCCTCTGGTCACACAGACCGCTGCAGCGCATATATATATATGTGTGTGTGTGTGTGTGTGTGTGTATGTATGTATGTATGTATGTATATGTGTGTATATGTGTGTATATGTATGTATGTATATATATATATATATATATATATATATATATATATATATATATATATATATATATATATATATATATATTATATATATATATATATATATATATATATATATATATGAGAGAGAGATCTATACACTATCTTGTCACCTACTTTTATGTAATACTTCTATGTTTATTACCTATCTTTACTCATCGTAGTTGTCCTTCTCTTTAGCTGAAGGTCTGTTTCTGTCTTTCTGTAAATTGTTGTGTGTGTAAGTACACTGAGAGCAAATTCCTTGTGCTGTGTGTGTACACTTATTTGGCCAATAAATCTGATTCCAGATCAGGCCCTTCCTAAACAAGTGAAGTCTTCATCACATTTATATCTTGTAGGTGGTATAGATTAGTCATCATCATTTGTAAGTAATGTACTAGATATCAGTATCCAACTTAAATGTTAATATCTGAGATTTAAATAAGTAAGTAGACTTGTACTGTCTGGAGCGTCAGAGAGAAAGAGCAGGGCTGTGGGGCATTCATAGCAGTGTCTGGCTGTTATGTAACAGTATTGGTCCCTCTGGAGAATGATGTCATTGGCTAACCTCATATGCTTTTAAAATATATAATTTGATAAAGAAAGCAAAGAAACCAAGAGCTGAAAAAATGTTTACATTCAAAACTCTCATTTAAAACGTTTTTTTATTGTCTTGATGTTTTCTTCCAGATAACCAGCATACTGTAACTCCACTGCATATTATCCTCGCTCTCAAAATCAGTGTTCACTTTCAACCACCGCAATCTCATAGAAAGTTTTTCCTGACAAGCATTTTCTGGTACATAACCAACATTTCAATCTGTTGGTCCGTCTGCATTCAGATGGAGCACTGATGGTTGAAAAAGCTGCTGAATACTGTAGCTGCA